TATAAATTCCTTCGATTAGGTTTTACCCTGGAGAATTTCTAATTCTAGCTTGTCCTCAACATTAGGGTCCAGATGGTCCCCCTGGCCCAGCTGGGACTACTGGGCAAAGAGGAATAGTCGGCATGCCTGGGCAACGTGGAGAGCGAGGCATGCCCGGCCTGCCAGGCCCGGCGGTGAGTAGCAGCCTCGGTCAATATTTCATCTGATATGTGCAATAAAATTTTTTTTCAGAGAGAATTGATATTTTTTGCTTAATAAATAGACTGAAGGCAGTCTTGTACTGACATACATTCTGAATATCTTAAAAATCGCTTATCTTAAATGTCAAATTCTTAACTACCTTGCAAAGTCTTTGAAAAATATATTTGTTTAACCCTGGGACTAGAGAAACAGACAAAGAAGGATATAGATTTTTGGTGACTCTTAAATCCTTCAAAGATTAAAAAGATCCCTGGAGCTAGAGAAGGGGGATAAACTCCTGGTGAGTAGGTAGCATCTTTTTAAATAAACACGCTTCACAAAAATGCCATATTTCACAGTAAACCATCAAAGAGAAGACATACTTGAGCTAAAGGAATATTAGAGGTGAATGTGGGGTGAACTACAAAGAAATACTCTGAAGGTAATCTGTTCTCTGGAGGGAGCTTAAGAATCTCATATTCCCTGGAGTATGGATAAAAGTTTGATTCGATGTTAGCTTTGAAGAGACTAAATTTTGCAACTATAAAATTATAATACTTGAGAACAAATTAATAATTTTTTAATGGAATATAGACAGAGAGATGTACCCCTGGGATCTTGGAACTGGGAGACATCTGGATAGAAATCCGAAACCAGAAAATTAGGAGTTAAGGGATGTGTTATTATTAGAAGTAAGCCGAGGGCTTAAAAGTAAAATCTCTCAGTAGTGAGACAAGAGTACCAGAATATAAAAATAAAATAAGCAAAGTGGGAGTGAAAAAGGATGATGTGTCTTACTTGTGATTCAAATTCCAAAAGGGTAGCTAGAATTGACTGTGGTCCGTATGGTTAGAACCCAAAATGCATACCTGAGCTGGTGACAAAGGATGCTTTTTGGTCCCTTTGATATGTCAGGAGGAGTGTGATATGAGGTGGGCATGCTTCTGAGAAGGCATTTACAGTGACACGGTGTTGTAGGTAATGGAAAATTATTATTATAGAAGGAGGGACTAAGGTGACATTTGAAGAAATGTAGCCTTTATGGGAACTGGCGTTCTTCAATTTCTTCAGAAGTGGATGACATATTTATACTTATATTTCAGGGCACACCAGGAAAAGTAGGACCAACTGGTGCAACAGGAGATAAGGGTCCACCTGGACCTGTGGGACCCCCAGGCTCCAATGGTCCTGTAGGGGAACCTGGACCAGAAGTGAGTACTGCAGCGAAAATAACTCTTCTCTTGGTATCTGGGTGTCACGGGGACAACTTTTTCATTTACAAATTGCTTTAGAAATTTAGAAATTGATTGTACATTTGACCTTAAGAAAGTTCTTATTAATGGTATTTGATGTACCCTATTTCCTTAGAGTTGGCTAATGATGACATAAAGAAAAGGTACCAAGGTCAGTGTCCTTGCACTGACCTTCCTCTAATTTGGAGCTAAGTATTTTAGTTGATTTAGACTGTTGCCAAATTGCTTTGAAGGTGAAAGGACACATCCATTCATCTTTTCCCTTGTTATTATTTCATCTTGTAATGGCATATTTATCAAAATTGCCAAGTTTTATGGTGATAGGATTAATATAACTATTATAGCTTGTGAAAAGGGCAAAGTAAATAGAGATCATTTTACTTAAATATCACTATAATGTAACATAATGGATGTCATGTTCCTTTAGGCTCTTTTGAGAGCAAATCAGTTTTTGATAAGCAATTTGAGAAGATAAAAGTTGGAATGTCCTCTATTTAGTGCTTTAATGAGTGAATCACCAAACAGTTAATGTCACATTTTCTTGAAGGAAATAATCAATGGTTTTCAGAGGAATTTTTGATAAAAAAGTAAACATAGTTGGAAAAAA